CCTCAAAAGAAGAGGGAAAACTACCAAACAGCCCCTAAAAGGGGCTGCTGACTTGAATAGTCAACGGGTGAATCCGTAGCCTTGTTAGCTTTTCCTTCCTCAAATTAGCCATCTTTCGGTAAAAATTACTTTGATCCACCACCATAAATAGGTGTCCTACCACTAGATTCTCCATTCTTGACTATTTAAGAAGGAAGAAGATATCGAATGAGGGAGAAATTGATGAGAGAAAGTCGACAACCCAACCCGATTTTGTAGCTGCTATTATCATTGTTTTCTGGCCAAACCTATAACTCTTGCAACCCAATCGAGGTTAAAAGTGCTATTGTACTATCTCGCACCTAAGAGTGTAAGACAATGCACTATATCCTATATCATGAATCACACCTAAGAGTGTAAGACAATGCACTATGTCTTATATCCCGCACCTCTATGACGAGTGCATAACGGAATTTTCTTATTCGGTTTAAAGTTTAAGGCTTCCTAAATTTGATATTTAATGCTAATAAAATTTTTGCAACCTAAACCATTTATAAACATTCTATAACATTTCATTTTAATTCTTATATTGAAACTAATAAGTGACAATAAGCTTAAAACAGTTCATATTCAAACTAATTTGTTACCATTTCTATAATTAGAATAATTCATCAACATATCCAAATTAACATCATTTCTCATGATTTTTTAATTTAGTAAGTGTATATATTAACGTACTAAAATAACTAAAAGATCGACCATTACAACTTAAAATGGCCAAATTTAGGCATTACCCATAAGTAGCCGAACCTAACAATGATTAGACTTCTAACTTTAAACCTAGACATGTAGTACATGATTTAGCAAACTTTGTAGCTCACGACCAACATATTCAATGCATCTACATGTCCTCAAGCATTGGTTTATTCACCCACACCGGAAGACAAAACAGTGAGCTAAGCTTAGTAAGTGTAACCATGCATGAAATGAAATTAAAACTATCATTTTTCATGCTTGAAATTCTTTTTTGTCTTTCGGGTATACCTTGCTGAATGTATATAAATTCAACCCTCTTTTAAAGCCATTATCATGAGAATCCATAAAATCTCTAAGCATGTTTGATTCAATAAACCACACAAAAGATTGATCATTCCCCCTTGTCCCTTTTAAACATGCCTAGTCATTATTTGTGTCCTCATAAAATCATATACATGTCTTTTCTTGAATGCTTGAAATCATGACATAAAGAATTTCATGGTGTGAATACAATTAGAATGCATAATCAAATATATACATGAACATAAACCATATGGTACCAAGCCATTCATTAACACAATCTACATGACACGATAAGGCCGAAACATCCTCCATACAAAACAAATTGAATGCAATGAAAACCATAATTTTTCATACTTGAAATTCTTTTCAATCTATTGAGCATGCCTTGTTGAACACATTGTTTGGATCCACTTTACCTCATTGGCTTTGATATATGCCACCTTTTGTTTTATCTATCTATTCTTTAGTCAATCCCTAATCCAAAAATAAATAAATGAATAAAATAAAATCATACTAACCAGTAAAATTATTTATTTATTTGATATTAAATGTATTTTCAGACCAGGTTATGTATCAACTAAAACTAATTTTTTTATGGGCTTAGGCCCAAAACTGTTTACCTATGGAGGCTCATTTTAGTCTGCAGCTAGATGGATAATCTAGACCAGAAAGAAGCCCAATAAGAAAAAACAAATAAGTCCAACCAAACACAATAAAAGGCATTATAGATTAGTACCTTTAAGTTATGGATCAAGGCCCATCTTATCATCTCAGATTAGCAATTTTATTTCGAACTATAAAATAATGAAGTTTATAATAATATTCTGCCAATAAATTAATTTCTTTCAAAGAAGTTTTTAGAAGAGAATATCCATAACATAGAATTCTTACCCATGGCAACTCTGAAGGAAGCGCCAGAAGGCCTTGTTGGAATTTTTTACGGATTTAGAAAATGCTTAGTTTTTTTTTTTTTTTTTTTTTTTTTTTTTTTTTTTAGTGGTAGGACAGTGAATATTGATATTAGATAGGTTATTCATATCCAGATTTGTGTATTCTTAAAACGAATTTCTATTTCACTCCTTTTTAAATTTAAATCTAAAATAATATCTGCCAAACAAATTCACTTAATTATTGCAGCTGCACTATTTATGCTACCAGAAGGTATATATATATATATATATATGGTGAGAGGGTATATTGTTTGACGGTGAGAGGTATTTTCAAGAATATTTATGCGTTAATTGATGAGATTAAATTCTTTTCTAAAACGATGTTAAAAAAGTACCTTATATCAACTTGATGCATTTAAAAACATTTAATACATATAATGCTAGATGGATGCTCTAATGTTTTGTGACAAACAGATTTTTTAAAAAGGATATCGAAACTGGTTATAGTTAGGAAAAGAAAAAGAAGGTAGAGAATAGCTAGAAATTACTAGTAAGAGGGATCGTCTAACTAATTGTTTAGTTTATTAATGACCGAAGAATATAAACTTTCTATCTATAATCATCATGAGTTGAATTATACATATCAAGAACTCTGAAGTAGGCCATGTCCAATGCGGTAATCAAGAGAGCTATGGGATCCATTTCAACTCAAGAAAGATTCGAATATAATTTTCAGACCTGTAGAAATCAAAGTATTCATTCAATTCACAACACCACAACCTAATTAATCAATACTTCTTAATTCCAATACAAACTATAATTCTATAATATTGATACAAATCCAAAATAATATTCAAGTCAACAACCTAACACAACTCTCATATCATTCACAATATCACAATCTAACTAGTCATTATTTCTTAATTCCAGCTGATCAAATTACAGTTTCATCATAATTATATATATTTAAAATAATAATTATGATTGACAATATAATACAACTCTCATCAATATAATTGCAAAAATCTAAATTGTATAACGAGTATCAAAATACAAATACCAAATATTACAATATAAATGAATCGCACGATCAATGTGTTGGCTTCAAGACAACAATTCGAAGAGCGAGGTCAACAAACAATCTCACAAATCCCGCAAAACCGAAATGATGAGATATGAGAAAACAATAACTCGGTGAGTAGATAATACATAAAATAACTAAGAAAGGAAAATGAACGAGCATACGATAATTTAAAACTTGCTCAAGATGCAATGCATATTTCTCAAAAGACAAATACATAATTTAAATATCAAATCGTATCTCATATTCTCAAATCATTCAAAATCATAATCAGAATCTTATATCAAAATACTTATAGTTTACTCAAATTATATTAAGTATCAAAATCTATGTCCGGAATGATCAAAGTATTATTGAATGCAAACATCCAAAGGCCACACCTTCGTAGCTAGATATATCGTATATTGGTCGATACACAAGCTAACATTGTATCTTTCTTGTTAGCTGGAGCATTTTTAATCACCGAGCTCACATGCTACATTCCTTCTAGTTCGGTACCATAAGGTAGTTGATCAAAACAAAAACTAAATAATCTTACATAAATTTCAAAAGTCCAAAACCAATATGTCCAAACACAAGTTATGACCAAAATTAATTTAGTAATGCAATTCAATATCAATCTCATAATCATAATTTAAGATCAAATCTAAACTCATATTCAAAAATTATAAATCAAATATTTACTTAAATTATACAATTCAAATCATAATCAATAATCTTAATCAACTAGTAATTAAATCCATAGATTTAAATCAAATCTTAAGTGAAACTCTTATTCAAAACATATAATCAAATCTTTGTTTAGAATCATATCAAATAATTTTGATGTCAAATCATTTCAAATTATACAAGGAGTTCGTTCCCATCTAAGTTCTAATAGATGTAATTATGACATAATTAAATCAATAATGCATTATGAGGATATCAAAAAAACTTAAAAACATAGTATGTTATATATTATCTATTCACAAGTACATTCGGATGATCAAACAATGTTAAGGTTGTCGAGATAGAGTTGGCCACTTCGAAGACTATAATGATACAAAATGATTGAATAATCATTAATATCACATATTAAAAAATAATTCAAAAGTAAATGAATTATTCTAGAAATTGGAATACATGAAAAATTACAAGAATAGATTTTATGGAACGAGACTAGCTCAAATTGAGAATTTTTAATTGAAATTTTGCTCTCTTAACTAATTCTAAACAATTACCCGACGAACTAAATCCCAATTTCATTATATAATATTTCTCTAACAACCCAATTTACACTTATTATAATCAATTATCCATTATCAAATTTTCGATTCAATTTTTACACAATTTGTCTCTACAATCCATCATTGATTTTCAATTCAACTTTTTCTACAACTTACTTATACAATCTATCATATCAACCAACTTGGGGATTTCTCAAGCCCATAGTTCAATAATAAATTTCACACCATTATTATCTCATTTCAAAAATCAATTAGCATAAATAAGTGTTTAATCATCAAACCCTCGCCCTAAGCTAACTCAATTTTTATATAATGGGACCAAATGGAAGATGCATGATTGCCCACCGCGATTGTCTTTCAGACCTTGATAGCTAAAGCTTGTTCATATACAAAATACAAATATAAAGAAAAAGATGTTCCTGATGGGCAAAGAAATGGATGCATATTTATGATAGTCTACTTTAAAGTACTGATAAATCTACACTAACTATGATAAGAAAGAATTAGAAGCCCAAAAGGAATTAGTAAATGCAGAGAAGTATGAAGAGATTGTGAAACAGGTATGTATTAACTAGAATACATTAATGACGGATGTAAAGCAGACAAAGTTCCATTGAATCTACCGCTCCATAACACACAAAGGTTTGTCGATTTAACTAGATTAAGCGTGAAAAATATATAAAATAAAAAGAAGGTGAAAAACAATTAAAGAAGTAATAAAATGTGAAACTAAATATGAGAATATGAAATCCTGATGATCCGTACCTAATTAGATGTTTCTTCGTCACTGTCAATAACTTGAACATTAATTTCAGGGATATGAGCGATCTTGGGCCAATCTTCTCCGGTTCCCCTTCGGCATCTTTTGCTCAAACTTGGACAACCCATGATTGCAAGCATTTGGAGTTTATTTAGATTGCCGATGCAGTCTGGAAATTCTCTAATGTTTGCACAGTATTCAATCACAAATGTTTGTAAGGAGTCTGCAGATCCTTGAAGAATTTGTCTTGGTAATGCCAGTGTTGTTGGTAACTTTGCAAACATTACAGTTTGAAGGCGAAGTGGTTTAATTTCTTCCTCGTACTCTTCCTCCATTGTCATCAAATCAAGCTTTTTACAATCCACAATACATAAAAACTCGAGTGCAGTCAGGTATTTCATGCTTCGTGGCAAAGAGATCAAGCTTTTACATTCACAAATACATAATTTTCGAAGGCTTTTAAGACCTTGCAGATCTTCGCACAAATATTCAAGATTTTCACAGTTACTAATGAAAAAAAATTGAAGATATTCCAAGCACCCAATCCCACCTTCTGGCAACCGCTGCTGCTTAGTAAATAGAAATAAAAGTCTAAGACTGATCATGTACCTCACATCTTTGGGCAGCTCTTCTAATCCATTACCTAGATAGAGAGCTTGCAGATTTTGTAATCTGAAAAAAGATTTTGGTAATCTTTTCAATTTTGAAGTCTTAGCCAAATCGATATATCTCAAGTGTTTCAGGGCACCAATCCTTTCTGGAAGCAATTCACAATCATCCATTAATTCCAACGACCGCAAATACTTAAATTTTGTCAAACATTTCTGAAAACCTGTTTTGCATCTAGGCTCCTCTAGATCACTTGCAAAAACAACTGTTCGCACACGATCCAATTTATTTGGGAAGTTGGGAAGAGCTTGATGAAAAAATGAATGAGAGTCAAGAACTGACAAATGACGGGTAGTTTTGAAAATTTTATGGTTTTGAGAGTTAATGATTGAACACTCATTTTGAGCTAATGATGATGCAAGATCATGCATTAAATCATGCATTTTAAAACCAATAGCCCAAAACCCATCTTCAAAATCCTGGAAGAAACATTTTGACATCAACTCACGCACATAGCGCAAGCCAACATCTTCTAAGTTTTCATTTGAATTTGATGATTGAACGAGTCCATGTGCAATCCAAAAATGCGCCAAACCGAAATCTGCAAAATCGTAATCTTTTGGAAAAAATGTACAATAAAGAAAACATCTTTTCAAATGAGTTGGTAGTCGTTGATAACTTATTTTTAAAGCAGGTAAAATACCATCTTCCTTTTCCTCCCATGTTCCGCTATCTTTTATTGATTTCCACTCTCTTTCATCAATATTACCATACAGTTGAGTTCCCAAGTTAATTACTGCCAAAGGAATTTGCTTGCACTTTTCCACTATTTCTTTTCCAATTTCAACCAAATGTGGATATTGTTCCATCTGCTTTTCTTTAAATGCACACTTATAAAACAAAGACAAACAATCTTCTTGATCAAGAAGACTTAAGTCGTGTGCAGGAACGGTACCCATAATCTCAGCAACACGTTTGCTACGGGTAGTTACTATAATTTTACTTCCAAATGCACCTTTAGACAACAAAGGCTTTAACAAGAGCCATTTCTGGGGATCTTCGTTCCAAACGTCGTCTAAAAGAAGCAAGTATTTCCTACCATTCAAAATTGCTTCCAGTTTTTCTTTTAGCTCGCCCTCATTCAAATCATTACATTTTTCACCACTTGCAGATTTAATAATTTTTGTTATCACTTGTTTTAGAATAAAACCATCTGAAACACACGCCATCATTTTCAGATCAAAATCAGCATTTGCAATTTCATTACACACCGATTTGGCTAGAGCAGTCTTCCCCAACCCTCCCATTCCAACTATTGGAACGACAGAGGGATGTGCATCATCAACCTTAAAAGGTTCCACTAAAATGCTGATGATGTGTTCTTTGTCTTTGTCTCTTCCGATAAGACCGGAAAAGCTCACAAAGGATTGTCTCATCTCTGTCTCTTCATGCAAGACATGACTATTATTAGTCTGCTCGGTGAGGTTAAAGTCAGACTTAAGAGATGCAATCTCAGTTAGTCTGTCAATGAGGCCCTTTATTTTATGACCCATTCTTAAACGGAAAGCAATCATATTAGAACTTGAAAAGAAGCGCCGTACCTTTTTATTGATGCTCCCTCCAGATTTCACAACCTGGCTTCGCAAACTTTCACACTCAAATTCATCCAGCACGTCCTCCGCATCATACAAGACTTCTTTGAGCTTCTGGAGCCAAAGCCGAATCCTGTCATTTTGTGACTGTTGCCTCTCGGCATCTGACAGAACTGCATTGATTGCTGACAATCTCTCTTCAAGACGTTCAAGGTCCCCTTCAAGTCCCCATGCCAAACAAAATTCTTGAACTGCAAAAGGAGCCAGCTTCCCTAAAAGGGATTGTGCGATGTTGGTTGCAAAAGCTTCCGCCATACCCTTTTTGATTGGAGAGGAGAAGCGATTAATTGAAATGAAAAATGAATGAGATGAAAGTGAAGTTATGTTTGAAAGATGTGCCCTCTTCATCTCTGCAATGCCTGCTTAAATAGTCAGCGTTCATGTGAAGGCCGCACAAACGTAATAATCGAAAACTTGTCTTTCACGAACACAGTAACTGAATGCAACACAAACGCTCAAGTCTTCCATTTCCTTTTACCAGGTGGCCAAAATTGAAAAGCTAGTTGGGTACCTCCTTTTGCTTTTACTAGTCTTTTCAGAATAAGAAGTTATTCTTTTTTACGTTTTGCACATTTATTTATTTATTTATTCAGTTTGATTGTGATTAGTTTACCTAAGTCTCAACTAAAAAGGAATTAAATTTTAGTATGTAATTAAATCTGACTTGTTAATTTTTAATTGTCAATACAAAAAATTGAGTTTTTAATTCTATTAGAATTATAAAGGTGAAAATGGAAACGAGACTTTATCTTTTTTTTAAAAAAAATCCTTTTTTAGCAAGAATATCATTGAACTACATGTTTATCGGAATTAAATAGTTTAAAGATTATTTTAATACTATTAGCATATTGGACTTTAAAAATAAAATTCTAATTTTAAATGTTGAGATATTAATGGATGATTTTTACATCTTAAAATTAAATCCCTTTCTATCGAAGTTTAAATTAAAATCATTTACATTCAAATGGTTGAATTCACAATAAATACTAACTATTTTAAATGTTGAGATATTCAAATTGTAGGTGTTAGAATTTCAGTTCATTATGATTTAATCTAAAATTAAATTTCATTTTAGTAGATAGTCAAAGCTAAGATCAAAGCTATTTTAAAAAATAAAAATTCATCAGTGAGATTAATTTCATATCCATTTGTGTCCTTAAAAATATTAACTCGAAGAAACATTTATTATCATAACCCCTTTGTTAGTAAATCTTTATTATCGTCTAAATTTCTTAAACATTTCATTTTTATTACATTAAATTCCTTAATTAAACCTTTCATTATATCTTTATGTGTTGACATATCGTTTAAAGATAGAAATATTTATTTTTTTCTTTTTTAATTCCAAACACTAGTTTTCCTTGAGGAATGAGTTTGAATATTCAAATAAGTTTATGCATAACAAGTGCTTGTATGATTATATAGTTCATTCTTCTTCACCTTGTTTCTAACGAAATGGAAGTCGATCTCTAAGTTTTTTGATCGAGCATGATCCGAAACACAGGATTCGCAATAAGATAGGTCACCGATATGTTGTCGCACCAAATGACGAAGCCATAGGAATTTTAATTCTTATTTCTTTTAAGAGTGATTGAATTTAAGTGACCTCGCAGGCCGTGGTCACTAAAGCATGATATTCTACATCCGTGGATGATCTCGTGATCTGTTCTTTGCTTCCTAGAGCACCAAGACACCGGATTGCCACCTAGATAAATAATATATTTGGTTGTGCTCTTTGGTCATCCACATCACCACCCCAATCTGCATTAGTGTATGTATTTATTTCAAGGATGTTATAGGTTTGATGTGTAGACCATGATTAGGTGTGGAGCCGAGATAGCGCAAGATTCTCTTGATGGTTGACCAGTGCTCAATTATTAGAGTATACATAAATTGAGCAACTTTGTTTACTACAAAGGAGATGTCCGGGCGTGTTAAGGCAAGGTATTAAAGCCCCCTACAATGCTGCGGAACATAGTTGGGTTATCAAATAATGTCCCCGCATTTAGCAATTTAACGAAGGCACATGCTAGAGTTGAAGTGGAACTGGCCTTATGCATATTTTCCCTTCGTAGGATGTCTCTAATATATTTGGACTAAGTAAAGGTCAGTCCTCCTTTTCTCTAATGAGCCTCAATGCCTAGAAAGTAATCAAGCTCACCTAAGTCTTTAATGGAAAATTTCAATTGAAGTTGCATTTTGACATATTGAATAAGATTCTCACTAGTGCTAGTAACCAAGTATATCATCCACATAGATAAGGCAATATAAGATGTCTTTACCTTTTGTGTATGTGAACAAAAAGTGTTTGATCGAGATCCTACAAGTTTGATTGTGAGACATTGGTACTAGGCTCTAGGTGCCTATTTGAGGCAATAGAGTGACTTCTTCAAGGAGCAAAAATGTTGGAGGAAGTCGAGGTCAACATAACCCCGTGGTTGCTCTATATATACCGATTCTTCCGGATCTCCATTAGGAATGCATTGGAGACATTCATTTATTGTACATTCCACCCATTTGTTTTGTTACTGCAATAGACAAAATCAATCTCACTATTGTTGGTTTGACAACGAGATTAAAGGTGTCAATATGGTCAATGCTCGATCTTTGATGGAATCCTTTAGAAACAAGACGTGTTTTATACCGATCTACGGACCCATTTTGCAGCCTTTTGATTCGTAAACCTATCTAATCTCTATAATATTGGATGTTTGATATTAGGGAACCGGGGCCTATGTATAATTGGACCGTAATGCCAACATTTCTTTATTCATTGCTTGGTGCCGGATTGGGTATTTAGCAATAGTGGTTTAGCAAGTTGGTGCAAGTAGAGATATGGGTGGTGTGAAACATTTTGGCTTTGCTATGGCCTATCTTGGAGCATGTTTTCATTGGGTGAGATGGTTGCTGAGAGTTATAGGATTGGGAAGGGGAGAGATAACCGATGATGCCAATCTCTAACTCGGATGGGTGGATAGGATGGGGTATAGGTTTTGTTTTGGGCTTTTGGGTTTTATTTATTTAGGTATGGGCTAGGCTTTGGTGCGACCGGTCGAGAGGTGGGTGACTTGTTTATAGTGTTGAGATGGCTAGTATGTTGGTGAGCTATTGGGCAAGAGCACTTGGTTATGGGTCGGGCGAGCTTCGTCGATATTCTTGGCTATGGGGCAAGCATGCTCGGTGATGTGCATACCTACAAGGTAGGCATACATGTTGATATGCGTGGTCGCAGGGCGACGAGCTCGTTGGTGGACCGATGGGTTTGGTGAGGGGTATGATGTGTGGGTATAAATGGTGGGTATAGTGAGACAACATTATGGGTTTCGGAGGACATCGGATTGTTGCATATGCTAGCTCGATATGGAAAGACTCGTTCATCAAACAAAACATGACATGAGATATAAATTCTATTTATGACTAGATCAAGACAGTTGTACCTTTTATGCAATTAACTATACCCAAGGAAAACACATTTGCGAGACTGGGATTCTAACTTATTTTTTATGTAAGGACTTAACTAA